CCCTCGAGAACCCCAGGACCAGCATGATATGGGCGTTCGCGCCAATGACCGCGCTCTTGGATCTCGAGGGGGTGTTCCGTGTGGAGGTGGATTACTGCATGCATGGCGAAGAATGGAGGAAGCCAACTACGTTCATCACCAACGTGAAGAAGATGGCGACGCTACAGCGGGTGTGCTTGTGCCCCGCGAGCCGATGCAGTCGGACTGGCCGTGCTCACCGAGAACTACGAGGACGATCACCAGGTGGACTACGGTGGACTCAGGTGGCATGTGCTTACCCGCTGGAGTTGTGCAGGGCAAACGCGTCCACTCTGCAGGAGCTCGAGCCGCGCTGGGACTCGATACCAGCGGGGGCCCGGCTTCGCCTGCAGGGCGATCGCGGGCGCGTCGTGCGAGCGACTGGGCCGGCCCTGCCTCTGCTGGGCCATTGGCTGGAGAAGAAGTGGCACGTGCTGTTTCAGGGACGTTGGTCTCACGCAGAGCACAACAATGTCTTGGAGCTGCGTACGGTGGTGGCGGTGCTCCGACACCTCAGTCGCACGTCCCAGAGCTGGAATCACCGCGTGCTGTTCTTCACCGACTCGTTGGTGAGCCTGGGCGTTCTCAAGAAGGGGCGCTCGTCTGCCAAGGACCTCTTGCACCTGGCGAGGATCGGCGGCATCATCCAGATGGTTTGCAGGATCCGCGGGTACTTCAGGTGGGTGCCGAGCGAGCTCAACCTGGCAGACGGCCCCTCGAGAGGTCAAGGCATAGGCGCGGCGGAGGACACCGTGGCGGGCCACGTGGGCCGTGGGGTGCCGAAGGAGCTACTTCAGCGGCTGCAAGATCGGGCCCGACGAGGACCGCCTGGAGCTTCGCATTTGCGATGGCCATGAGCGGGCTGGCGCTGTGCGAAGCGATGCCGCGGCGCGGGGTGGACGGCCCCGCTACGACCTCTGCAAAGCCCCCCCCTCTGGCCAAGAGGGGCGCTCGGGCCTGGGAGCAGGCCCCGAGTGACAAGCTGCACCACAATGTGAGGCTCGTGGTGCACGCAGTGGACGACGCCACGAATCAGATCTACGAGAAGGAAGTGAGGACCTTCCTCCTGGACGTGAAGCGGCACGGGCTCCCCTTCTCCACTTACGAGGAAAGGGATGCGGCGCTTGGCGGGTACATATCGGACATGTGCTACGTGATGCAGTTGCCCTTCGGCAGGGCGTCAGCGTTGTTCAATGGTTTCATGCACATCTTCGAGGACCACCGCAATCGGCTCCCCGTCGCGGCCAGGGCGCTGAAGTCCTGGTCTAGGATGGGCTTCCAGAAGGAGGGGGCGCCGGTGCCGTTCGAGGCGGTGGGGTGCGTGCTCTACGACCTCTTTGAGCACGGCCAGCTGTACGAGGGGGCCGCGGTGCTGCTGCAGCTGGACGGCTGGCTGAGGGAGCAGGACTGGGGCCTCCTCAGGAAGACGGACGTGGCGGTGGGCCCCGACGGGGAGGTCGGGCTCACCTAGGGCCGCAGAGAGCGGGGCGAGAAGGTGAAGACGGGAGCGAACCAGGGCGTCGTGGTCTCGTGGCAGGTGACGAAGGCCATCCTACGGGCGATTGGCAAGGGCGCAGCACCACGGGACCTCCTCTTCCCGATCTCGCAGGACAAGTACAGGAAGGCGTGGAGGCAGGCCTTCGACAGGGCGGGCCTGGCGGACTTCGGCCCCCCGCACTCGCTGAGGCACGCGGGGGCAGCGGCTTACATCGCCGCTGGCGGCTCGCTGGAGGCGGCGCGCCGGAAGGGCCGCTGGCAGACCGCGTCGGCCCTTCAGCGCTACACGAAAGTGCACGTGCTGATCGAGCAGCGGAGCCGGCTCACCCCCGCACAGCTTGAGCGGGGGAGGGCCTTCTGGCGCAGGCCCGCCCAGCAGATCTCAGAGGCCATCTACCGTTCCGACGCTGTGCTGGCCCCGCTGGCGCGGGACATGGTGCACGAGCTTGTGGCAGCCAAGAACGACGAGGTCGTGCTGCCGCAGCTGGAGAGTATGGCGGACGGAGGCGCGGAGCCCACCAGCCGCCCATCCACTGCTGGCCGTAGCAGGGCCAGACGGCAATGAGCAGGCCAGCCTTTTGCGGCCCCCACTCTCATTTCAGGCCCCGCCTTTTGCGGGGGCCATATCTTTTGATATGAATGCAGGAGCCTCGAGATTTGGGCGCGTGCACCCTGTCCTCCACTTGTCTTCCTTGAACATTTGATAGATATGGGGAAAATATAAAGCAGGTTTTTTGGTGGGTGAGAGCGACACAAATTATCTCCCTTTCCCCCCCTCCCGAATGTGTGCCGCGCTCGTGTCTAGCTGTGGCTGGAAGCGTGAAGGCACAAGTGCCAGTCTAGTGATGACGGGACTGGGGGTTTCGCCGCGAGGCTTTTTGGCCCGACCGTGGGCCGAGGCACGGTCAGGTACCTCTCGGCCTTTTATGTTTCGGGCCTCACACGGGGCCCCGCCGCTGCGAACAGATACTTTCGGAGGGTGCCCCCTCCTCTCGAGCCGCTCGCTGTCCTGTGGGGTTGTCTCTCCCGCTGCTGCGTCGGATATTCTGTGGGGCCTCTTTTGATTAGGGTTGTCGCTCTACCCCCGCCTGCCCCCAGCACTCTAAAATCAAGATTTTATGGTATAGGCACGCTCCGAGTTAACATACATTCAAGCCTGGCTCTCGAGTGTGGGTGCTGTGTAAATACGCGTTTTTAAACACACTTTTACACACCCCCTGTAAACGTTCAGATAGCCGCCTCAACTGCAAATTAGGAGGAGGAGTAGCGCAGTCTCTCTCGTGCTTGTCCCTCCTCTCCTGGCGCAAAGTTTCGGCTCCCAACCCTGCCCACCCTTGGGCTTGTATGAGCTCGGGGGTTTCGCCGCGAGGCTTTTTGGCCCGACCGTGGGCCGAGGCACGGTCAGGTACCTCTCGGCCTTTTATGTTTCGGGCCTCACACGGGGCCCCGCCGCTGCGAACAGATACTTTCGGAGGGTGCCCCCTCCTCTCGAGCCGCTCGCTGTCCTGTGGGGTTGTCTCTCCCGCTGCTGCGTCGGATATTCTGTGGGGCCTCTTTTGATTAGGGTTGTCGCTCTACCCCCGCCTGCCCCCAGCACTCTAAAATCAAGATTTTATGGTATAGGCACGCTCCGAGTTAACATACATTCAAGCCTGGCTCTCGAGTGTGGGTGCTGTGTAAATGTTCGTTCTCATGCGCATTTGGCGCTTTGCTCGTACGCTTGCCTAGTTGCACCTGTCTGCCCACGCGCGTTGGGCGTATGGCTGCTTCGTTCGTTCGTTCGCCGATGCTGCCCTATGCGACGCACATTCCGATTTGATTCGATGTCCTGATTCAATGTTGATTGATATTGCCCCGTGCAGATGCACGGCTCATTTCCGACCGTGTTGCGGACGGTTTTTTGGATGTGGATCGATGCGCATGTTTCCCCGGCGTGTCTCAGTGCGCATTACGCTGGGTCCTTGGCCGCAACAGAGCGTGGTTCAACAACATGGGGGCAATGGGAGAAGCCTTGCTCGTCAAGCGATGGTGGCTTTTTCTTAACAAACGCATGTCGGACAAATGTGCTGGTAGACGAACTTCGCGGGCAACTCAGGCTGCACCGCTGAGAGCCAGGGTGCGTCTGTGAGGTCATGTGACTGCTTGCCTAGTACCTTCATCATTTGCTTCAGCTCCCACGCTGGGGTTCCCGTTCCAGACCCCCGTTCCGCCTCAGTCTCCCATTCAGGCGTCGGCGTTGGGGTTCTCAACTCTAGAAGCTTGCCGTGCGTTTGCTGTGGCCATTGATATGGCGGGCCAAGTTTGAAAACAGGTTGAAGATTCGGCGTTGGCCGACGGCAGAGACGACCCGAGAGGGCCCCAGGGATACCTCGACCCTAAAGACGCCCGAGGCACCCCCAATGCAGCCGAAGAGAGCCCAAGACAGTCCAAACTGGCTCCGTGAGGTAGCCAATCAGGCGGAGAAAAAACACAGACACAAATTATCGTCGATTCCCAGGAACATGTATGAAAATATTGGAAGTGGGGGGGAAGACCAGAACCAAGAAAATCTAGGAACATATGGGGAATCCGGTTATTTGTGTCCATTTAGTTGTGTGTCCCAGGGGCCCTTCAGACAAGACGGCCAAAGAGGTTTTGAGGAGAACCACAACACACATGCAAGGCTGACCAAGAGGCCCGTTGTGCGCGGCGGTCCACGGCACAGCCCACAGCAGACGTCTTACAGTGGCAGGGGAAGATTTCCTCCTCCTCCATCCTCCTCCTCCTACTCCTCCTTCTCCTCCTCCTCCTTCTCCTCCTCCACATCCAGGGGTCCTCCTTGTGCGTCTGGGGCTCTCTTTGGCCCTATGGGGGCCCCCATGGGCTGTCTTGGGGCCCTCTTCCAGCCGTTTGTTTGGTCTGCTTCTGGGCGGGTCTTTGGTGCGCCCCTGCCTGCATTCAGAAGCCCGGATCAGCGGGTCACATTTTTCAACTCGTTCGCCGCGGGTTTGCCGTGGCGCTGCGGTGGCAAAAATGTGAAGTTGTTGCGCTGGGCGAGGACACGTCAGGAGATCGTCGTCGTCGTCGTCTGCCCCCCTTCCAGATCCCTGTGATCCCGAATATGCCGCCTCCTCGTACTAAGGTTGGAGTTGTGGAGGCAGGTTGGCACCGGTCCTTACGGTCCCCCAGTCAACGAAGACGGCCTTAGGGATGGGTGCCAAATTCCTTCCACAAGTCTGACCTGAACATCTGAAGTCGGATATTGGAACCTATACATTACTAGTGGTGGGCTGCTTTTTAAACCCAGCACTTTTTGAGGGTCGAGGACGACGTGGGAAACAACGAAAAATGTATACACCAGGATCCAGTATACACCAGGGTTCGTTATAGTGTTTGCAAGTTTCAGAGCAGGCCCGGAAGACGCGTCGGTGTATAGAGTTCGGTTCTTTATGAAGGCGCCAATTGCCACCATCCAGTGTTTTCCTCTCTGCTGGGGCCCCCCCGAGGCGACGCCCGAGGCGCGCGAGGCGGCGTGCCTCTTCTGCTGCGGCGAGCCGGAGGTCGGCGACGGCTGCTCCTGGGCTCGGGCGCGCCGCCCTCTCTCCTCGAAGGGGAGGGGAGGGGGATCGGGTCGACCCGGCAAGGGGAAACGTCAGGCTCCACAGCGCCGCCTTGGGTCCCTGCACAGTTGGAGGGGCTGGACGTGTGGAAACTGAAAGCTCAAAAGCATTAGCGTGTGGGGCTGAACTCCCGCCCTGCGGACGCAAACCACCCAGGCCTCACCAGGCCTAAGGAGAGGGGGGGGGGGAAGGAGGGAGGGGGGAGTGCCCCCTATCATGCCTGCTGCCTGCGGCAGGGGCGTGCGGCCGGAACTTGGGCTCAGCGTGTCGCGCTGCCGGTGCTGGCCCACCACACGCCCGCGCGACACGCGAACCGCCCCCCCGGCCCCCGAGCGTCGCCGCCCCGTCGGGCGTGCGGCAATGGGGGGGCGATCAACGGGGGGGGCGTCGAGGGTTGCACGAAAGGGGCCCGAAAGGGGCCCTAAACGAGCCCCCTGGGGCCCCGAAAGGGTACGAAAGGTGTATCTTTCTTACCCCACCATCTACCGCCCCCCCCCCCCATTAGTGAACGCCCGACCCCGAGTTTTTCCCGGCCTTCCGCCCCACAAAACGGAGCCACGTGCCATCAGCTCGCAGGGTGCAGCGTGTCGCCGGGGCCGCCGACGCAGCGCGCTGCGCAGGAGTTCCTGGCCGGAGGAGCTGGCGGGGCCAGTGCGGTGCCGTTGCGCCGCGCGGCGCCAGGCGCTCCCCTGCGGCCACGACTGCTGGCACGCCCAGTGCATCCTGCACTGGCTCTCCGAGTGCAGGAGCGGCCCGGGAGGGGTCCCTCCCAGGTCGATGCGCGGGCGGTCACGAGCGGATGAGGCAAACAAGCTCTCGGCAGGGAGGGGGCAGAGCAGAAGAAAGCCATGCCCCTCCCACGGGACCTTCTCCCGGGCGGGACTGGGCGGGCGATGCGACGGAACTGTCGAGGAGCAGAAGACTATGACCACCTGCTCCCACGCTCCCAACCACTCGCACGCCCATTGACCCAGTTTCACGTTGACGCTGCTGCCTAATTGCATCCCTGAGGCGTTCGCCATTTCTGCGACCCAACAGCAAACCAAATTGATTCGTGACGGTGTCCTAAGCTTTCGGATGCCCCAGAGGGTGAAGAGGTGGAGGATGAGCAAGAAATGCATATGTTGCGGAGGAAAATGCAGGGGAGAGGGGCAAGAACAGGAGCACCAGGAGGAGGAGAATGAGGAGGAGATGAGGAGGAGGAGGAGAAGGAGGAAGAGGAGGTGGAGTGAAGAAGGTGAGGGAAAGGCTGGGCATGAGCTTCGAATACCCAAGCAGGCTTCTTCAATGTTTGTGCAGCGAGCGGAATTTAGAGAGTGAGAGCGCAGCTCTCCAGGCCATGGCACACGGCTGGGGGATGGGCTCGCATCGCATGTGCCCGAGGCAATCTCTGGGCCACATCGGGGCCCTCTGGTCAACGCTCTGGGGTTGCTGTGGGTTGTCCCTGGGCCTTAGGAGCCGCCTGGGCCGCACCTGAGATCCGGATGTTGCAATTGTTTCACACTGGGCGCTTTCGCTGGACGATGGCGTCAGGGCTTCATTCGTGACTTCTCGCGATGGCGCATATGTTGTGTTAAATTGGGTCTCAGCGTCCCGCGTGGTTTTCTCTGGCTGTATGGTGTTTCTCCTGTCCGGTTCGGGCTGTGTGGTTCCGTCTGGAGGCCTGCCTGGGCATTATCATGACTCTCCCTCCTACGAGGGGAAAGAACATCAACGAGTCCTGCCATTGTGAGTTCGTGAGCGGGTTACTCATCCGTCTTTGTGTCCGAAGGTCAGGCGTTTCTCAATCAGTAACAGGCAGATGGGTTCTCATCGGCGGCTTGTCATTGATAGTGGTTTGGCTCTCCGACTCCTGGGGCCAAGCTCAAACCAAGCCAGCATCAGGGGTATGAGTTGTCATCCCCCTCCCACCTTCCATTTTGTGTCGTGTCGGGAGCCTCGGTGGCAGCTCCTGGAAGGCTCAATTCAGCATCGGTGCTGGCAGATCCTAGGTCGAAAGCAGTTCTGCTCTTGCCTAGCCCTGCTTAGTCCGCCCCCATTCTGCTTAATCCAGGTTGGTTTTGGATTTAATCTGGTCTGATGCCGATTTAATGGTCCTTCATACGAAATAGGCCGTGATCGTTCCTGAGAAGATCACCTTTGAGTTGCTTCCTATGAGCTACCAAGTCCGTCTGCATGACTTCCGTGTCAACGGTACCAGTCGTACAGTTCCCATCGGGTGATGCTTCCCGATGTGGATATATGTGTTCAGATACTCCAGATTGTCCAGGTTAAGTGATGGCACCTGTATCGGGATCCGCGTTTGTAGAAGACTAAAGTCTTCATTGCGTGGAGCCCCCCATATGTGCATCTATTCGCATGGACCTGTCCGCCGTGAGATTCTAGGCGCATGAGTTTTCGAATCTAAGCGGGCTTGAGTTGTGACGGTCTGGTCATGAATCTAACTTCGAGTGGATTGGAGCGTGAATGAGTCTCCATAGTACGAGCGCGTCTCTGCGCATGAGCTTGGGACCTCCTTGGGCCTCCAGAAACCTCCTGAGCCTTCCTGGGGCCTCCTGGAGCCTCTTGGGGCCTCCTGGTGCCTCTTGGGGCTTCGAGTGGCCTCCTGAAGCCTCCTGGAGCCTCGCGTAGCCTCCTGGAGTCTCATGGAGCCTCCTGGGACCTCCTAGGGAGGATTCGTGCCCCAGGAGACGCCCGATCTATAGGAACAGGCGTACATCAAACATTGCGGATTGGAGCCACAGGAGCACACATAAAACACCAAGGACTCGTGCCCCAGGGGAGGCCCAACATATGGGAACAGACGTAACACAATTAGGATTGCATGCACAGGGGAAGGACAGCATATGTATATATATATATATATATATATATATATACATATATACATATATTTCTATATACAGAAACATGCGTATAACATCAAGGATTCGTGCTCCAGGTGAGGCCCAATCTATAGGAGCATACGTAAAACACATGGGATTGGAGCCACTCCTGTTGCCTTCTGAGGCCTCCTGCTCCTGGGGCCTCTCGGGGCCTCCTGTTGCCTGGGACCTGGCGCTTCCCGTGGCCTCATGGGGCCTCCTGTGGCTTCCTGAGGCCTCCTGGAGCTTCATGGGGCCTCCTGGCGCCTCTTGGGACATCCTGTGGCCTCTGGAATCTTCCTGTGGCCTCCTGATGCCTCCTGGGACCTCATGTGGTGCCCACGAGTCTGGCCATCAAAACAGGCAAACCTATCGAGACATCCTCAACACCTGCCCCCCCCCCCCAGGGGGCGAACATGGGCGCCTCGCTCGAGACATCCTCCAAATCTGCTCCGAAAGCGGAGGAGGTGGGGACCAAGACAGGCAAACCGCTTGAGACATCCCCGCCATTTGGGCGCGAACGGAGGCCGTGCAATACCCCTGGCGGCCCCCCTTAGGAGGCGCCTCGCACGAGACATCCTCCAAATCTGCTCCGAAAGCGGAGGATGCTGGGGACTAAAACAGGCAAACCGCCTGAGACATCCCCACCATTTGGGCGCGAACGGAGGCCGTGCAATACCCCTGGCGCCCCCCCCCCCCCTTAGGAGTGCTAAAACCAGCAAGCCGCTCGAGACATCTTCATCATCTGCTCATCGTCATCATCATCATCATCATCATCATCGTCATCATCATCATCATCATCAGCAGCAGCAGCATCATCATCATTATTGTTATCATCACCACCATCACCATCATCATCATCACCATCATCATCATCGTCATCAGCATCATCACCATCATCATCATTACCAGCATCATCATTATCATTATCATTATAATTATCATTACCAGTATCAGTAACATCATCGTCATACCCATCCACCACCCACAATCACCATCATACTCACATCATGCTCTCACCATACCATGGTCATCATCAGGGAGAGGTGGTCTGGCGCGGTCGGATAAATATCTACTGCATAGAGCCCCCCATATGTGCATCTATTCGCATGGACCTGTCCGCCGTGAGAGCCTAGGCGCAAGAGTTTTCGAATCTAAGCGGGCTTGAGTTGTGACGGTCTGGTCATGAATCTAATTTCGAACGGATTGGAGCGTGAATTAGTCTCGTTAGTACGAGCGCGTCTCTGCGCATGAGCTTGGGGCCTCCTGGGGCCTCCAGAAACCTCCTGGGCCTTCCTGGGGCCTCCAGGAGCCTCTTGGGGCCTCCTGGGGCCTCGAGTAGCTTCCTGAGGCCTCCTGGAGCCTCGCGTAGCCTCCTGGAGCCTCATGGAGCCTCCTGGGACCTCCCAGGGAGGATTCGTGCCCAAGGAGAAGCCCGATCTATAGGAACAGCCGTACATCAAACATTGCGGATTTGAGCCACAGGAGAAGGGCAGTCTGTAGGAGCACACGTAAAACACTAAGGACTCGTGCCCCAGGGGAGGCCCACCACATAGGAACAGACGTAAAACATTTAGGATTGTATACCCAGGAAAAGGTCAATCTATAGAAACATACGTATACCATTGAGGATTCGTGCGCCAGGTGAGGCCCAATCTGTAGGAGCATACGTCAATCACATGGTCTCCTGTTGCCTTCTGAGGGCTCCTGCTCCTGGGGCCTCCTGTTGCCTGGGCCTCCTGGCGCTTCCCGTGGCCTCCTGGGGCCTCCTGTGGCTTCCTGAGGCCTCCTGGAGCTTCCTGGGGCCTCCTGGAACCTCTTGGGACATCCCGTGGCCTCTGGAATCTTCCTGTGGCCTCCTGATGCCTCCTGGGACCTCATGTGGCCTCCTGGGGCCTCCTGAAGCCTGCTGGAGCCTCCGGTGGCATCCTGGGGAGAATATGTGCCCACGAGTCTGGCCACCAAAACAGGCAAACCGATCGAGACATCCTCAAAACCTGGCCCCCCTGGGGGGAAACATGAGCGCCTCGCTCGAGACATCCTCCGAATCTGCTCCGAAAGCGGAGGAGGTGGGGACCAAAACAGGCAAACCGCCTGAGACATCCCCGCCATTTGGGCGCGAACGGAGGCCGTGCAATACCCCTGGCGGCCCCCCCTTAGGAGGCGCCTCGCACGAGACATCCTCCAAATCTGCTCCGAAAGCGGAGGATGTTGTGGACCAAAACAGGCAAACCGCCTGAGACATCCCCACCATTTGGGCGCGGACGGAGGCCGTGCAATACCCCTGGCGGCCTCCCCCCGTCGGAGTGCTAAAACCAGCAAGCCGCTCGAGACATCCTCATCATCTGTTCATCGTCATCATCATCATCATCATCATCATCATCATCATCATCATCATCATCATCATCATCATCATCGTCATCGTCATCGTCATCGTCATCGTCATCGTCATCGTCATCAGCATCATCATGATTATAATGATCATTATCATACTCATCCATCACTCACCATCACCATCATACTCACATCATACTCGTCATCATCAGCGACGGGTGGTCTTGTGCGGTCGGAGAATAGCAAGAACCCCATCCTTTGGATATGGGGAGTAACAATAAACCCTTCCTTAAATATGGGGAAAAATTGTGCCTCACCGTCTGCACCCGCACGAGACTGCTCAGCGAATCAACAAATTGCATTGAACACGTGAATGTCATGGTGAACTGATCGGCAACACCTGTGCACACACATGGCCTGCCCGCGGACTTGGCGACGATGCCCTCCCAGTTATCTATCGTCCTCCCCCCTTGCCCATCTCCCTTGCGCAACCAGCAAATCCCTCCCCTCGCCCACTGCTCCGCGAGCTCGATGGTTCCCCAAATCCGGCAACCTTCCCCTCCCCGCGCCCGCCACCTCAGCTCCCTTTGGCAGCTCCCCCCTGGCCCCCCCCCCGTCCACCGCTCCACCCAGCCTGCGCGCACCCCCCTCATCCCCTTCTCCCGGGCCCTGCTCGCTTCCCGCCCCCTCCCGTCACCATACTCTCCAAGGATGAGGAGGAGGAGGAGGAGGAGGAGGAGGAGGAGGAGGAGGAGGATCCTCATCTTCACCCCTATCCCCTTCGTCTATCCCCAGGCAGCGCGGGTGGCTCCTGACAGGGCATCCGCGCGTCTCGGGCGGCAGGCCACGCCTGCCGACCCAGCGCCGCAGGGCTCATCGCTGGCCGTGCCCTCTGGCGCCTGGAGCCGCTGCGCGCTCCCCGCACATCCGATCTCTTGATGGTGTTCCTGCAGGGCCTCCGGAAGTCCCGACCCCTTTCCCAGGGCGGGCCTTCCATCCTGAGCCGTTTCGTGACGGTCCCGGGGCCCCGCGATGGCTCCCAGAAGCCGAGCATTGCGAAGAGCAGCGTGCCGCCGTGTTAGCACGCTGGGGGTCCAGGCCCCCTCCGCCGAGCTGCCACCGCATCTGGACATGCCCGTGTGATGTAGACGAGCCCGCGTGCACAGCGTCGCAGTCGCTTGGTCTCGGGCGAAGAGCTGTGCACAAACACCGATCCTGTCCAGGCCCAGCCTGTGCACAGGGTTCAGTGCACGAGCCTCCCTGGCCCGAGCCAGGAGGGCGTGAGCATCGATCCTGGGCTCAGGATGGGCCTGCTCAGGATCGGTGTTTGGGCACAGCTCTCGCTCTTCTACTGTCGTCCCTCTGTCGGAGCCCCCCTGGTTCTCGGCTCTCCGGCGGCCGTCCGGGGCGGTTCGGGCACCCCCAGAGCGCTCTCGGCGAGGCGCAGCTCCTGGAGGGCATCCCGACGAGGACGGAGAACCGCGGAGAATCGACGATCAGTATCGTTTATCCGGTCCCCATCCCCATCCACATCCCTTTCGAGACCCCCACCAAATTACCGCCCCAGTTGAGGATACACCCCTCGAATCCCGAAGGGAACGGCCTATATCCCCATCTAGGGGGGTAAATCGGCCAGTGGGGCCCAGGCCACGTCGCTGGGGATGGGGATCGGTTAAACGATACTCAGACGAGAACGCTGATTCACGAAAGTGAAGCAAAGGTAGCACTGCTTGCCCCATGCATGCGCTGTGTCTTCTGGCCCTCCGCTTCTCTCCCTGCCTTCTGCCTCTGCAGCAATTTCAGACCAGGCGGGACCGCTTGTGCCACCCTCCCATACTCGTTGTCCGCCTGCCCCCGCTGGGGCACCGGTGGCAGTCTGCGCGGCGAGGTGCCGCTTGCAAATCGTTCTCGTCCTCGTGGTCTTGCGCAGTGCAACAACATATGGGAGGGGAGGTGGGTAACATGCATGCGGAAGCCTCGAACCTGAAGCCTCCCCCCCAGCGCGTATTCGATGTAGGTATTGGTAAGCTTGCTTGCATGGCGTTTGGGCGTTTCCTCCCCCCGCCGCGTTTTCGAACAGCGCTGGGCCGGAAAGGCGTGCTAGTGAGTCCCGACTTGTGCGAAGTGCAGATTCACTTTCGGACCTCGCCACGCGCCTCACCCCAATGCAGGGAATGGAGGAGTGCGGGGAAGAGGAGGGAATGGAAGAAACCATGGATATCCTCGAATTTCCTCCTCCACCTCAGAACCCCCATCCTGTTTCTGCTCCATCCCCTCCTGCCCTCCTTCTCCTCCTCCTCCTCCTCCTCCTGCTCCTCCTCCTCCTCCTCTTCCATTCCTTTCCCCCCCCCCCCTCCCTGCAAGCAAACCTGCCTCAACGCCTCCCGCAGCCCAGGACCTGCCCCCTCTGCCGCGCAGGGGTGCCCCCCACCTGGTTCGCCGGCGCGGGCGCCCACGGCAGGCCTGACAGCGGGGGGCCGGGTGGTTTTTGGGGCAGCGTGGCGGGGTGCGGCGAGAGGGGACCATCGTTCGTCTGAGGGACCGATGTGGGCACGGACAGAATGGACACGAGGACCTACAGCAGTTGTTGTTCATTCTGAACAGGACTCGTTGTCGGTGTCGACGCGGACGTTGTCCATTTCAGACAGAGGGCCGCCTGCCCAGCAGCGGTCGCTGTCGGTTTGGGATTTGTTGCTGGACATCGTGCCCAGTTTTCGGTACAGTCAACCATGATAGTAAGGATAGGGCAACTTTCCAAGGTTTCCCTTGCATCCTTGCCACTTCGGTATTCGGCATCCTTCGGCAGTCTGCTGCGCTCCGCACGGGAAACGTCAACATGGCGTTCCAAGGCCCTTGCATCCTTACCGCGCATCCTTACTATCCTGGTCGAGTGTACCCATGTCGGGCATCCACAGTTTGGTTGGGTTGCGAAGTTGACCTCAGAAGAGGTCGCCCCGTAGGGGTCCAGAAGGCGGTGCGGCGTTCGAGTGGCCAGAAGAGGCCGGGAGGGGCACGCAACGAGGCGGGGACGCGCGAGGACGGGGCGCGGGGATTTGGGGGGAGGAGGAGGAGGAGGAGGAGGAGGAGGAGGAGGAGGAGGAGAGAGGAGGAGATGGAAGAGGAGGAGTTGGAGGATGAGGAAGGGGAGGAGGAGGAGGAGGAGGAGGAGGAGGAGGAGGAGATGCGGAGGAGGAGGAGGCGGAGGAAGAGGAAGAGGAGGTGAGGAGGAGATGGGGGAGGAGGAGGACGACGACGAAGAGGAGGGCGACGAAGAGGAGGACGACGAAGACGATGACGACGAAGAGGAAGAGGAGGATGAGGAGGAACATCAGGAGGAGGAGGAGGAGGAAGGGGAGTTGGAGGAGAGGTGGAGGAGGAGGATGAGGAGGAGTAGGAGGAGGAAGTGGAGGTGAGAAGGAGGAGGAGGAGGTGAGGAGGAGGTGAGGAGGAGGAGGAGGAGGAGAAGGAGCAGGAGAACCGCTATCGCCCAATCCCGCCCCATTTTCCCCACAGAGGGGCCGAGGCGGCGGCCAGCTCAGGCCCGCGACATACGCGCACACAGACAACCTGATCGTTTCTTGTCGCCCCCTGCTTGCGGCCACGCCGTCATTCGTGGCAAGATCGAAATCACCTGCCTGGCACAGGCGACTACGTCGAGAACGAGCCGTCGCCCGAGTACTGCAGCGGAACGCTAAAGCACGACAAGTACTCGATGCACACCGTAATGCGAAACGGCCACCACGACATCCACAACAAGCTCCAGCAATGGCGTCACTGTGGCGATCAACATCGAATCGAACGCCGAGCAGGGGTCCACCTACGCGACAGATGTCTCCTGCGGTATGTGCGGGATTGGAAAATGGAATAGTGACCGGTGGACTGCAAAATGGGCAGCTCGACGTCTTGACGAGTAATGGCACAGGGGCGCGGGAAAGAACACCAAGGGCACGAACGGCAAGGGCAAAAGCAGTTTTCCCTAAGCCGCACGATGACCACACCCAGAGCAAGGACATCCCGCAGAAGGACAAGCAGAAGGATAAGAAAGGCAAGGTGAGCCAACAACCACAACAGGACAAGGGGACCCATGCTAAGAAGAAGCAGCGAGAGGCAAACCCGAGACTGTAGCGACCACGTCGCCGGGGCTTTCAACAGCGTTATTCCCATTTGCAAGGTCTACGCAGCAAGCAGGCCCGACTGGGAACCACCGTCAATCCACCCCACCTTCAAACATGGAGTGGTATAGTATCAAATAAACAGCGTACGGAGGCTGCGGCCATTATGAAGGACAGCATCGCCGGGTTTCAAACCACTGACGCCGAGACACACATCGACTTCGTCAAAACTACGATCGTCAGCAGCATGCCGCTCGCCCAGCAAGCCAGGGAAGTCGAGCGCACCAAGGATGTCATGGAGGACCACCTCGAGCACACACTACGGCGCACCACGAGGAGCCGGTGGTCTAAATGGCAACAGTGCAGGGAAATACCAAGAATTACAACATGTCAGGAGGGACATCCAATTCCGCAAGGGGCATGGCCTACGCCAGCACCGGGCCCGCCGATGACGAGACGGAACCATCTCACAGGGAAGGCCAATCGAGGAGGGCCGCAACGCTGGCGCCTAGGAGGTAGAGAGCGGCCGGGGAGTCGACTGGAAGACGCAACATTGGGGCCGTCTTGAAAACGCTGCAGGAAGACAACCAACATCTCATCCATGACGCCAGGAACATCAGAAATGAGGCCAATGAGCAGTTCGACAGCCAGACAACAGGAGTTGCGACAGCACCTGCGAGGCGTCGGGGCCAACGTAGAGAACGAGCGGAGGAATCAAAGGCAGACCGCAAACGAAGACGGCCGAACTCAGCAAAAGCCGAACGAGGATCTCGCCGCCGCCATAACTACTCACAACAAGTTGCCCGCGCACCATGCGCATAATAACGATCCACAGCCAAGCTCCACGGCGCTGAAGAGGAATTGGAAATCATCGAGAACGTCAATGTTGACTCACAGAAAAACAACACTACCCCAGGAGAGGCGCCGTGGACGCCGTGAACAGATTGAACAACGCACAACAACCTCTCGAGCGCCACGAGCAGGACCGCAACGCCATGCAACAACACATGCAACGGGCAGAAGACAACCGCCGAAAGATATGCCTACGGCAACGAGATGAAGGAGATAGAGCGCCGCGGCCACCTCATCGGAGCGCAGTGAATACGCGACTCCAGTGAGCGAGCACAGCTACGCAGACGCGCGATAAGGTCCGACCACCCTTCTCGAAACGCCCACGCCAAGACACTACGCCGAGGAAGACGCATCCAGCTACGATTCACCGGCGTCGAGAGGCAGGTGCGCGGTTGAGGCGCCGAGTCAGCGCAGCGCCATGAACAACTGCTGAACATCACGACAGCAGGCGCGAATGAGTACCTGGAGCAGACACAGCAAAAAACAGATCATGCAGGAGGACACTCCCGGATTGTCCCTGCGGGAGCGGAGACGGGATCGCACCAGCAGGGCGAGGCCCGCCAGCGCGAGATTGATTTGCACAAGCTGGAGGAGGCAACGTGGAGAGAACGGAACACCACCCACCAGGAGCGCACCGAGGAGGCCACCCAGGAGTTCATCCACGCGCAGAAAGTGGCCGCACAGGCACAACAGCGCCGATCGCACATGAAGGTACTTGACAGACTAGAGAAGGCGCAGTCCACTGGCGATCCCCAGCGACGCCGATGGGGTCGGGACATCGCGCGCTACTGGCGGGGCCACGGCCCGCGTGAGATGCGACTCTGGGCGCTGCGCGACCGACGCAGTCCCAGAGTGGCCGCGGCCGCCAGCGCGAGAGCAATCGCGGCCTCCCCAACGGGGCGCGACCGGCAGCGCGTGCCATTGCCAGCAGAGCAGTTGCTGCACGACCACCACGCGTTCCATTCGTCGACCTCGACGCGCAGCGCGCGCCCACTGGGCGAGAGCCAAGGCGGGCAAGTCGTCGACCTGCTGCGCGGCAGCCAGGAGCGTGGCCCGCCACAGCCAGCCGCGCCCAGTTCGTGGATAGCGAGACCACTGCCTCCAGACCAACCAGATAATCTTGTTGTCCTGGCAGATCATCGAGGCACCGACATAGAGATTGATGAGGTAGCGCTATTTCTAGGGCAGGGGAAGACGGCCACTGACTCCGCGATCCTTGTTGCGCCATCGCCGCCGAGGAAGGAGGGCGACGGCCTGGCGACCGCCGAGGAGATGATCTCGCAGGCGCCCCCCCCCCCTCACGGGATCTTCATCGGCGCGCCGGGGAGGCGGGCGCCCCTACCGCAAGGAAGGGCGCGCTCAGCACCTGCCGCGAGAAGCTGGAGCGCCGGGACAAAAAAGGGCCCGCCGAGCTGGGGCCGCATGCTCAACTGGAGAACGAGGCACCAGGCATCGTGAGGCTGCACAAAGGTCACGCTGCCGATGGCATGGCTGGAGCGCCACGCGACGAGGGCGCGCCCCCGGACCGGTCCGCCTCGCCAAAAACGGCGCGCAATTTTCAAACGTTTCTCCCGACAGAACCTAGCGGCACAATGAGAGGCGCCCGACGGCCCAGCCATCGCCAGAGGGCCTGGCTCGGCGCCATTCAGGCAGATTGCGCCGCCCAACACCCCCCACCTACCCACCCGCCCGCGCGCGAGTCCAGAGCGGCGGCAACGGAGACGACGCGATGAACGCACGGCGATTCGCGAGCACACCATTTGCCGCGGAGCCAACGAGCACCCGACTTCTCGAAATGGCACTCAGCTGGAGTCAAGAGCAATCAGTCCGACAAGAGGGGGCGCAGGATGAAGGTCGACCGCTCAATCATCCGGCGCACGGCAGGCTGCAGCTGTTCAGGCTCATAACGGACAGGTCGTTACCGCCGACCGACCCTGCCACATGCGAGGGGAAACCTGGCGCGAGGCCCACCCCGCCGGTCGGCCATCGACGCCCGCCGTTCGATCGACATTCGATGTGACGAGCCGATCGCCGAAGTCCCGCGACGCACCTCCCCACCGCGACCTGCCGCCCAATTCCCATGCCCACCAGAGAAAGAGATCCCACCCAGCTGCTGTCATGGCATTGGAGCTAGCGCCTTCACGACGGACAGTCCGAGGCAGTCGAATTCACCTCTACGCCGACGGGGCGCGCCAATCCGATTCTGCCAGGCTTGCGCGGGCCGTCGTCACCACCGTCGAGGACGACGTAGGCCGCGCACACCTTCGCAATGGCAGCCAGACCATCAAGTGCTACGTATCTAGGCAACTTGGCGACTACGGCACAGCTGCGCCCACTGCGTCAGAATTGGCAGCTCTCATATGGGCCTGCGCCTAAAGCGACGCGCAGAAAGGTTACATGCTGCAATGTTCCAACAATTGCCCACACCGACTCCAAGGTGGCAGATAGTCTTACCGCAGGACGACGCAGAGCACGAGCCGGCCACGACGCGTCATGC